GGCTATTTTTTTTCAATTTCTTCAATTGAGCAATATTATGGTCACAATATAGATAGATTTTTGAATGTCCTTTTTTAAATGTCATTTAAAAAAAATGAATTTTTAAGAACACAATGAATATCAATGAGTTTGATAATTCAATTAAACTTGCTGTGCTTTTGGCTTAGTAACTACTATTTTTAAAAATACTTCAAAAAAAAAAGGCTTGCATATCAAGTATCATTCTGTGATGCAACATTACTTTACAACAATATTTTCTACAAAACTTTTACTTTTGATTGAATTTTGAAACAAAGTTCAATTAAATGTTCCTTGCCTTCTTAGCTTCTTCTTCACTGATAAATGGCAGTACCTTCAACAGTTCCTCTACTCCCTCTTTAAGAGTTATAGTAGCATGGAAGCCTAAACTGCGGATCTTTTCATACGAAACTTCATAGTTYCTCTTGTCTTTATCCTCTCCATTTGTCGAAGTGGTAATGACACAATCTGGAACTAACTGCTCAATCATTTGTGCAACTTCTGCTTTAGACATGTTCATGACTTCATCRCCAACATTGAAGACTTTCCCGTCCATGTAGTCATAATTCTCAAGAGCAAATGCAAATGCATTAGCTGCATCTTTTACATGGAGAAAAGTGCGACGGAATTCTCCCTGGTAAAGGTCAAAGTGTTTCATGGTGACGGCTTTGTGAGTCAAATCATTYACTAGGAGATCAAGACGCATACGGGATGACACACCAAAYACGGTAGCAAGACGAAGGCAGACCCCACCTTTCGTTYCTCTCACCACCTCTTCGCCAGCGGCTTTTGAACTCCCATACAAAGTTAGTGGAGATATTGGTGTCTCTTCTGTACATATCCCATTGATAATAGCCCCATAACATGAWCCTGTTGATGCATAAACTAACGCTTGACCTGGCCGAAGACATTTTACAACATTCTTTGTRCCTTCCTCATTGACTTGTTGAGCTAGCTGTGGGTTCTTCTCGCAAGCAGGATAACCAACAATGGCRGCAAGGTGAATAACTGCATCACTCTTTGATACATGTTGCTTTAAGTGGTTGAAATCAAGAACATCACCTTTAACAATTTTCAGATTTGGATTACCAGCATGWTGGAGAAGACCAYTGATACCCCATAATAACTTATCATAGACAATTACATCATAGCCCTCGGTGAGGAGAATGGGAACTAATGATGTGCCAAGGTAYCCTGCACCACCTGTTACTAATACTCGTGGATACCGAAGTGGACCCGAACTGCGGGAATATTTGGCAACATTATTTGACGCATTGCCATTAATTTCATCAAGTCCATTTTTMATCTTTTTAAGAACTGAAACACCATTGGTTGTCTGGAAGAGAGAATTTGAGGATATCAGCAAGTGATGAAAATTTATATTCAAAAATTGTAAATGATTAAATCTCATCTTCAATTAGTTAGTTAGTTAGTTAGGCGGATGACTCCGAGATTTAACAATGGCACTCCAAACGACCCTGTCTTCCATCAACGAAGCCAGCTCGTGTGAGCTGATTGCCCCAGTGTCGCGCTTGAGGGTAAAAGCCAT